AAAATATTTCCTAAGAGAAGGAAGAAGGATCGTGTCTCGTGAAGAGGGTGGCTGGGTTCTCCTTTAACGCGAACTGTGTGTTGCCTCCCCCTTCTGATAAATAAATAAACGCGTGTTCATTCGTTCATTCCTACGAATGCGAGAGAAAAAGAAACAAAGAAAAAAAAAAAAGAGAGAGAGAGAGAGTGATTGTAAAGGGAAAAGTAAGGAAGTAAGAAAGTAAGAAAGATAAAAAAAGGAAAAGGAAGGAAGGAAGTACGGTCAAGAGTCGAATGGCAAGGCAGTAAAGGAAAGTAACGCGAACCCGTAAAAGAGAATCAATTCGATTCCCGTGGGTGTTCACCTTCCTCTCTCATCCCCATTCAATCTCTCTCTCTCTCTCCCCCTCTTTCATTCTAACTTATAGCCATTTCCTTTTCCTTTTTCGACGACTCCGTATCTTTTCCTCGCCTTTTCGGGTCCCACCCCTCTTCTTTACAGACTGAGCACACGCTTTTGCTTCCTAACCTCTCGCATGTTATATAAGAATGAGAAAGAAAGATAGATAGATAGATGAAGAAAGAGAGAGATAAAAAAAAGAAAAAAAAATAGAAGCAAATCCAACCAACCCCTCTCTATCTTCCTGACGCAACCCCACCCCCTTCTCTCTCTCTCTCTCATACTCTTTTCCGTTACTTCTTCTTGCCGTGCAACAAGTGCGCCTTGACTCGCATCTTTAAGAAAACTGCTGCTGGCTGGTGGTACTCCTACCGGCCGATTTACCCTCCTACCCCTTCAAGCTCAAGACACCACTACATCTACTACTACTACTACTACTACTACTACTACTACTACTACTATTACTACGATTCCCACCTCCTGCCAAGATATTTCTTTCCTCTTTTTTTTCTATCTATATATCTACCTATCTCTTTCTTTCTTTCTTTCTCTCTCTCTCTCTCTCTCTCTCTCTCTCTCTCTCTCTCTCTCTCTCTTTATTCTATTTCTTTTGCTCTTATACGGGATATTTTTATCCTTACTTTCATCTTCCTCCTTTCCTTCACCTTCTCATCCTTCTTCTTATCACCCCACCTTCTCCCTCTTTCTCTCTCTCTCTCTCTCTCTCTCGTTTTCTCATACTTCTTCTCTTTTTTCCATAGCACATTTTTCTTTCACTATTTTTCCTCTTTCGAAGCCAACACAAGCAACCACTGGCCAAAGCCCACCACAACTACCCTTCCAAATCACTCCCCGGTACTCTTTACTTTCCCGTCACTTTTCTTACTTTCTTTTTCTATTTCTTCTTCTTCTTCATCTTCTTCTTCTTGTGATCTTATTTCTTTTATTTTCTACTCTTCCTTATTTCTTTCCTTCTTTTGTTCTTTTTCTCCCTTAAGACTTTCAACGATCTCCCGAACTACCAAATCGATTTCTACTTTTTCCAACTCTTTCTTTTCTTCCTTCCTTCCTTCCTTCCTGGTTTTTATTTCTTGGGAAGACAGTTGGGAGGAGAGGATAAGGGGTTGGTTGGAAGAGGAGAAAGGTACTCATACATATGTGCATACGTGCGAGCGAATAGGGAAAAGTGTCGATGGAAGTTACGAAAAAGGGCTTCGCCTGGTACCCACTTTCATTTCTTTCTTTTCTTTTTTTTTTCTTTTCTTTTTTCTTCTTGTTGCTTTTTTTATTCTGTTCTCTTTATTTCTTTTCTTTCACTCGATGAAAAGCAAGACTAATTATTTAACGAACTTCGAATTAGAAAATAAAATTAATGTAAAGTATTCAACCCTTCTTTCCGCCTCCCCCCCCCAACTACTACCACCAATGTTTCTTCTCCAGTGCCCGTGTAATTTCCTCGTAAAACTAAAAATAATTAATAAGAAAGGATGAAGACAATGAAACAAAACAAAAACTAGAAAAGATAGATAAATTTATAATAATAAAAATAACGAATAAGAAATGGGAGAAAAAGACAAGTAAAAAAAATAAATAAATAGAGAAGATAGATTGATTTATAAAGGTATAAAAGGGAACGTAAAAATGTCGGATGATTATTATCGTGACTATATTTTAATGAAACGATCGGAACTATTCGGAATGGTGAGAGAAATTAAAGAGGTTACCGTATACGATGATATAATCCTGCGAGTGTATAAGAGAGAAAGGGAGAAAGATATATAGAAAAAGGGTTCGATTGTCATGCCATGAAACGCGTTAAATTTATCGGCGGTTTAATGCCCTACGGGACGTTTATAGGGGCGCAATAAATAAAAGCCGATCGGTGTTACGGCAACCGATCGGTTGCGAGAGAGTGCGAGCTAAGGGAGGTTTTAGCATGGATGACACTGAGAGAGACACACTGATTCAGGGACTATGGAATAAGAGAGAGAAAAATAGAGAATGATAACGTACCAACAAAAAACTAGACAATAAAAGCGAGAAAGAGAGAGAGAGAGAGAGAGAGAGAGAGAGAGAGAATTAAAAAGAATGAAAAAGAAAAAGAGAGGAAGAAAAGGTGAGAGAGAGAAAATAAGAGAGTAAGGGTGGGTGGGTGGGGGCTTAAGAAAATAAGGAAAGGTTTGACTGAGAAAAAATTAGAATGATAAAAAAGATATGAGAAAAAGGAAGGGTTTGAAAGGGAAAAGGTGCTAGTGAAGAATACAAATATTTTATTCTTTTGGATGTCGGATCCGAAAGAAGCATCGGAAACGAGTCCATTTGGAATTTGTCTGTTCGTACCTAATTCGATTCGATCGTTAAAAGTAATTTACGTGGAATAAGTTCTCTTTCTCTTCCTCTCTCTTTCTTTCTTTTTATCACTCTCTTCTTCATTCTCTATAAGAGTTAACTTCATCGTCGTTTAACTATTTTTAAGCAGGATTATATATTATACAGGTGTTATCGACCGTCCTGATTTCAATTCGTACAATTTTATTTTTAAAATTTTCATTGATTTTTTCTTTTTCTTTTTTTTATTATTGTTGTTATTATTCTTTAAATTTATATCATCTTAAAAAAATATTTGTTTCAAATTAATTATGAAACAATTACGATGAGATGAACGCGAAGAAAATGATTTTTTAATTAAATACTTTTTTTCCCGAAATAATCATATTATTCCATCGTATAATATCTATCAATTCTATCAATTATTACCCATCCATTTAAATGCATCTGTTCTCCTGAATTATATTCGATGTCATCTTTTATATAACTGAGTTCTCGTACTATTTTATGAGATATAAAATTAGTATTTCTCTCGTTTCTACCTTATTTTCTCCTTACTTAGAATCACAAGCAATTCGGTGAGTTCTTTTTACGATTCCCAACGACTACCACCATCAACACCACCATTACCAATCCTAAAACCACCCACATATACCCCACCAATTTCTTTCAGAAAGAGAAAGTTATTAATGATCCAAGTTGAGAAAACGTACAGAGGAAATGTAGCCATCGAACGGACCTAACTTCCCCTTTCTTTCCTTTTTTTTTTGTTATTTTTTTTTTTTTTTTATTATGTCGTATTCTTTTTCTTTTCCTTGTAACTTTTTTCTTTTCTTTTCTTTTCTTTTCCTTAACAATCTTCCTAAGCCGCCCCCTTCCGTGTTCCCTCTCACCCCTTTCCTTCGACCATTCTTTTTCTCGTTTTCACTCGTGCACTCCTTCTACTCTCTCTCTCTCTCTCTCTCTCTCTCTTTCTCTCTTCGTCGAGTTGGGTAGATCGGCTTACAAATTACGCCCCGAAAGTTCCTTCGGGATAATGGATTCCGGAATAAATGAAACTGCCTGGCTATAATTTAAACGGATATCCATCCTCCCTCCCTCCTTCCTTCCTTCCTTCCCTCTAAAGCCCACCCCTGCCCACCGTTCCCTTTGGGTGCCCCCGTTCATCTGGCCCTGGCGCGTGCACACTGGAAAAAGGTACTTTTCGTCACGGGCCTGAGGAATGGCGAAGTGACTACGAACTGGCAGAAAATCGATCCTTCGGACTTTGGCCTCCTCTGACCGAGACTACTATCCATCCACCCCCTCCTCCCCGCTCCTCCTCCTCCTCCTCTTCTTCCATAACCACCTCCTCCTATTCGTTCTTCCTCATCGTTTTCATCCTCTTCGATATAGTTCGTGTTTTCACGTTGAAACGCGACTCAACGAGAAATCCCTTTTCTCTCTCTTTTTTTTTCTTTTTTTTCTGCATATACACGGATATATCTAGATAGTTAGATGGATAGATAGATAGATGGATAGATAGATATGTGTATATGTGTTACGAAAAAAAGCTCACCGAGATTTATTCGCGGTCACGGTGCATGTAATCTCGAACGGTTTATCGAACGTAATCACGTACGTTCGATCGTCTCGTCCTTTTTTTTTTATCTTTTTTTTTTTGTATTTTTTTTCTCTCCCCCGTCAAAAGGGGGCTTGTTTTTACGCCGAGTCGTGCGCGAGCGTGTGTGTTTTTTTTCTCTTCTTTTTTTTTTTTTTTTTTTTTTTTTTTTTAGTGTTTTTTCCTTCCCGTAGATTTTTAATGCCTAGGGATTTTAAACGGATTCTTTTTTAAACGTAACGAGAAAAATACGAAGGATATTTTTTTTTCGACCTCCTGCCACCTACCCTACCCTATCTCACCCCCGTGAATCGCGTATACGTTTCGTATAAAAATTCGATGAATTTCTATCGGAAAGAAAAAAATCTGTGTATTCATTGATATATATATATATATATAATATTATATAAGTCTGATATTTATCTGGTCAGTATTTAAAATAAATAATGAAGAGTTTTTATTAGTTAAATATCACAGTATGTAATACTAACAATAAATATTATATAATACAGTTTAATAGATATTCTCTATAGAATCCCTGTTAGTTTCACATTAACCGTGACACATTTATGATATAAATGATCGAAATAATTAACGATAAAATATTAAAGACACAAGTCGAAAGATAGATTTTGTTTTTTTTCCGGTCGAATAATCATTATTTGGCTTTTTAGGTATTTGTGTTATTACTTACCACGAACAAGGATGAGGGCGCTGAACAGGAGAACGGTTTTCAACGGCCAACTGGCCATCCTGGCTTGGACCGTTACGTCGATTCAGCTTCCTCCTGAAACAATACAAGCGTGCTCAATCAATCAACCCATCTCCATCCTCAGTCCCCAGCCAAGCTTCCTCCTCTCCCAGTTTTCCCACCCACTTTCTCCCTCATCCTCATCCTCCTCCTCCTCCTCTTTCTCTTATTCATACACGCACATATACATAGAAATGCATATATGTATGAGGACTGTCTGGTTCCATCGAACACATTCCACCTTTCGTCTCGTCTTTTCTGGCAGTCTGCCCGTCCAACCAACCTTCCCCCCGAACTCCTCCGTCCGCCACCATACCATACCATACCACACCATACCAACAAACCCTCTGCTCATACTCTACAACGTATCGACAATTTCTTTTTTTTTTTTGTTTTTTTTCTTTTCCTTCTTTGTTTTGTACACTCTGAAATCCCTAGCCAGGGATTTGTCCGCTCAATGAAAGTCCTACTACTACTACTATATATATTTACTTACATGCACGCCGTGTACACGGATAGACGCGTATCTATATGCAATATATCTCTCGTATACATAATCGTAAAATATGTATACGAGTATATAAGGAGTTTTCGTATGTGCTTTTTTTTTTTTTATGAAAAGTATCAAAGCTTTACCTACCTGTTTCTTCTACGCGCGTATCTGATTTTATTATATATATATGTGATAAATATTTTACGCATTCCTACTTGATAAAGCCCAACATTCATTTTTTCTCAACGTTGCAGAAACGTTAAGGTTCTTTTTTTCTATACAAAATGTTTCAGCTATGGGGCAGCAGGGAAATGGGGATGAAGTCAGTAACCGTTGGGGGTGAAACTTTTCCAACGACTAAATAATTCGAAGACTCGTTAACGCGGAAACACTAGTGCAAAATAAATTTCGCTAATTACTCGATGATACTACCCTCTCTCCCTTTCTATATACTTTATATACTTTATATACATGTGTTCGATGA